TAGCCACGTATCGGTTAATGCTTTATGTGAAGCTAGATTCGCAGAAAACTTGCAGTTCAAGGCCCAGTCCACTGTTCAAGTTGCTTACTAGTGTAGCATAGAGTTTTAGGTGGAAGTTCAACTTAACAGTCTCCACTGCAGTACCGGTATATAAAACAGTGTTTTGGAATCAAAGGCAATTTTTGTGTGCCTCTGGGATCTGGTGGGGATTGCTGGAATTTTGTCTATTTTGGGCCTAGCCCAATAGCAGTTTTAGAAATTCCTAATAAATCCTAGAGGCCCACTTAGCCCATTTGTGCAAGGCAAGGGATACTACTAAAGTTTAGTCCCACATTGCCAGTTGAGTGGGAGTTGGACCTCCTTATAAGGGAGGTTCTTTCCCCACTTGTATGAGCATGAGAACAAGAGGGACATCCACACGCGCTCCTCCTCCGCCGCCCGCCTCGCCACGCCGCGCCGCGAATTGCGGGAATGAGCTGAGCCGATGTCTAAATTTTTGCCACACACTATGGGTATACGAAAGGTCACACGGAAGCTGAACAAATTTTTGTGAAAGTGGAGTTCGAATGCGAATGGTGCAGCTCTTCGGCTGCTGGCTATTCGCTTCATCTCCGTCTCTTCGTTTCGCCTCCCGTCGCTGCCCTCTCGCCTCCTTCTCTTGCGCCTATAAAAGGGAGGTCGCTCCTCCCAGAGAGACGCACCAGAACTACTCCTTCCCTCGCCATCGGTTCCATTTCTGAGCTGCTGCTGTCTTCCTCATCCCGGCTTGCGGCGTGCACCGCACGCCGGGACAGTAGGCCTCCGAAACCGTACCCTTTTAGTCCTGTACCGGAGAAGGGTGATAAGGTTTTTGGGGAGCGCTCAGCGCGACTACTGGCTGCTTCATCACGGACGATCCGTTCCCTGATGACGACTTCTTCCCCGACGTCCACGACCTCCTCGATGACATGGCAGGCGAGGACACCGACCCCAAGTCTAGCACTGCTGCTGTCCTGTATGTGTTCTTCTCCTTTCTATTAGAGGTCCTGCTACAGTTCCTTGTTCTAGTATTTGCCCCAGATATGTTAGACTCTATTTCATATATGCAACTTGCTATACTGTCTGCTCTAGATATGTTTAGTTACAGTTCATATATGAAGATGTTGTTTACCTTCTCTTTGTCAAATCGCATGGCTTGTTTTATCACTACTATTCTTTTTTTGAGAAACAAGAGTTACAAACTCAAGTAACGGGGCAGTATTCAGACTGCATCAACTCTCTAAGCCTATCAGGAACTCCTGCAATAATCCAAAAATTTCCATGCATCCTCGCCTCCATCGCCAGCTTATGAGCCAATCCATTTCTCTTCCTTCCAGCAAAACGCACTTTGTATGAGGCGAATACCCCAAGTAGTTGCTTAATATCCTGTATCACTGCATAGCAAGTGGCCAAGCACGCCTCCTCTGAAATTAAGTATTCAGCAACAGACTTGCAGTCCAGTTCCAAAACGATCGGTCCATTATAGGCATTGGCCAACGACTGTAACCCAAACAGAGCAGCCCGTGCCTCAGCTTCCTCTATGCTCGCCGAAATAGGAAGCAAGCTTCCGGCCGACAAGAAGACGTAGCCACGGTGATCTCTGACAATAGCACCTGCCCAACCCTGACCACTGTCTAGATCGAAGCCGGCGTCTGAATTAATTTTTGCAATCCCCGGGGCTGGCGCTGTCCAAAGCATGCTTTGCCGAACAGGTTTGTTAGGCGCAGCATTTTCCAGTGTAATCTGCTCTTTGCCTTTCTCCGAAGTCACGTCAAGGGCAGCCATATTCAGTTCCTCCTCGTACTGGACCAGGAAGTTAACAGAATGACGAATCAGCTCATTTCCTTTGCCATGAATGCAATCATCTCGCAGGTGCCAGCATCTCCAGAGTAAAAGAAGGATCTTCGCCTGCATGTCTTCAGAACAAGTGCCGAGTAGATGCTGCATCCAGTCAGTACCGGTAAACCTGAAAGCTAGCTTGGAGGGAAGAGCCTAGAGCTCTCTCATCTCATGTCTTAGAGCCCTGCTTCTAGTACATTCAACTACTGCATGGAATTCATTTTCCACACCATTTCCACAGATGTTGCACGTAGTATCAAGAGCAAGGGTACGTCTAAATTTGTTCTTCTTTGTAGCAAGGGTATTAGTAGCAATCCTCCATCCAAAGATTCTAACTTTCGGAGGGACCCTAGCTTTCCAAACGAGGTCCCAAATACTCCGATCGTTTGCCTCCCTTGTAGAGCTCGATGGAATCTGACTAACCTGCCCTTGACTAGCATAAGCCAATTTGTAGGCGCTTTTTACAATGAATATTCCATTCTTTTCAGGGTGCCAGGCAATGCAATCCTCCACTTCCGATATTGCAATGGGGATCTTGCAGATTTCGTTAGCATCAAACTCTTGGAAAATTTGATTTATGAGTTCCACGTTCCATTCTTTCCTGTCCGGGAGGATGAGCTGGTTTACCCACCGGAGACGCAAGCGCCTCTTGAAAGAAGCCGTCTTCAAACCCTCCTTGCGTGGGATCCATTGGTCACACTAAATTTGGATCTTTCTCCCATCCCCCACCATCCAAATAATTCCTTTTTTCAGTAACTCTAGCCCCGCCTCAATGCCCCTCCACACGGGTGATGCATCTGATGAGAAGACCGTATCCAGCAGATTCCCGTGAGGGTAATACTTAGACTTAAGCACTCTTGCACATAGACTGTCTGGCTTTTGGATCAGCCTCCAAACCTGCTTTGCTAAAAGTGCTAAGTTGAACAGATGCATATCTCTGAAGCCAATACCTCCTGCCCGCTTAGGCCGAATCATATGCTCCCATGACATCCAATGAACCTTTGATCTTCCTCATCACCCCACCAGAAGTTTCTGATCATCTTCTCGTACTTATCGCAAAAACCTTTGGATAATAGAAAGACACCCATGGTGAAGCAAGGGAGTGCCTGCACAACCGATTTGACATGAACTTCTTTAGCAGCATATGCCATGTATTTCTCTGACCAATCACTGCATCTTTTCCTGAATCTATGCATGATTGGCTGGAAGTTCTCATCTTTCATTCTTCCTTCTGGAGTTAGTAGTCCTAAGTACTTACTCTCAAAAGATGATGATACCACTCCCAGGGTCTCTTTTATATTATCCCTAACTTCCTCAGGGCACTGTTCGCTAAAAAGAAAAGAACACTTACTTTCACTCAGCAACTGGCCCGTGCATCTCTGGAACGTGGATAAAACCCTTTTCATTGTAACAGCTTCCTCCACCGTGGCCTTGAAGAAAATCAAACTATCATCAGCAAACAAGAGGTTTGAAATGTCGGGGCTATTTCTAGCAATTTTGATGGGTGTCAGGTTTCCCGCCTCGGTCTCCTTCTTCATGAGTGTCACTAGGCCATCGGCCACAAAAAGAAAGAGATAAGGGCTCAGTGGGTCACCTTACCGTAAACCTCTTGACGGAATAAAAGGTTCCTGTAACTCCCCATTACATCTGACTGAATACCTGACCGACCGGACACGGTGCATAATCCAGGAAATCCATTTCAGATCAAAACCAGTTTTTTGCAGGACCCCCTCCAAGAAGTTCCAGTCCACTCTATCATACGCTTTCGCTAAGTCAAGTTTATACGCACAGTGGGTATTGTGTCTGCTGATGCTGTGTTGGATCTTATGAAAACACTCAAAGGCAATGGCAGCATTATCTGTAATCAACCGTCCAGGGATAAACGCACTTTGCGTCTCGGAAATTATATCATCCAAAAAAGGCCGGAGGCGATTGACGAGGCACTTGGATATCACTTTATAAATGACATTGCATAAACTAATTGGCCGATAATCCTTTAAAGACTGAGGGTCCTTTCCTTTTGGGATGAGGGCGATCACTGTATCATTAATCCCTTCCGGCAATGTCTCTCTCTCAAAAAATCCAACACTCCATTTATGACGTCTTCTCTCAACACATTCCAATTCCGCTGGTAAAACCGGGCGGGGAACCCATCCGGTCCCGGCGCTTTGAGCGGGCCTATCTGGAAGAGCGAGTCACTGATCTCCTCCGCCGTGAACGCTCTTGTTAATCTGCTGTTTATGTTGTCCGTGACCCTCTTTTCAACCAGGTCCAGTAACTCATGTGGTTCCACATCTCTCTCTCTCTCTTGTAAAGATTCTGGAAAAACTCCCTTATCATTTCTCTGACCACTTTGCTATCTTCCTTCCAGACACCGCTGCTGTCCTTTAGCTTAGTAATCTCGTTTTTCTTTTTCCTCCAAGTAGCTTTCCTTTGGAACCATTTTGTGTTGCGATCCCCTTCACGTAAATAGGTAGCTCTAGATCTTTGTCTCCACATAAGCTCTTCCCTGAGCAGCACCTCGTCAAGTTCCTCTGAACATTTCTGAATTTCTCTATCTCGCATAGGTGAATAAGGGGATCTCCATAGGATACTGAGTTTGTTTCTGAGTTCTGCAGTTTTCTTAATTACTGATCCAAAATCCCTATCACTACTATTCTGGTCATGCTTTATCTAGTATTTCTGTTAATAAAATCATTCGGTAAATTGCTCATATTTCCAACAATCAATCAGTTTTCAAAAGCCAATTTTCAAAAACTGGAGGGATCCAAACATGGCCTTAAGCTAACTTCAACTCTCAGTTCCGTGCAATCTTCACATGGACGGGGCAAATCATTGGTCTAAAGTCAAAGATTTGAGTCGGCCATGTATGCCAACGTATATTCAGATTCCCTATTAAACAACTGAAGTACGTACTGAATAGTGGGCAACTGGAACATGTTTACTTGAGAGCCAATCTACCTATAATTTTCAGCTGGCAGATGTTGACTCCTCGATGGACGGTAGCTCGCAGTCAACGGTCGACAACCACTCTTAATTAAGAGCTCAGCTAATCCACAATATATACATTGTCTAACCTCAGCAGATCAGAGCGCCATCCTCCCGTTAATCGAACCCAAACACTTACTTGTCTTTCTCCGGCCATGGCCACCGCCGCGGTCCTCATCCTGCTCGCATCGCTCCTCCCGGCGCTAGCCCCCGGAACCGATAGCAGCTCGTCCGCCTCTGACTACGGCTTGGCCCTCAAGCCTAGTCACAAGTGCGGCGTCGTCCTGCCCGTCGCCGTGGGCACCTACGACATGGGCACGTACGCTCCGGGCAGCGCGTACGAGGCCACCCTGCGCCATCTCGTCGCCACCATTCCCGCCATGGCGAATGCGGAATCCAGCGGCTCCTCTTATTACAGGGAGTCCTGCCGCGACGGTGCCGGCGCGTGCGGGCGCTCATACGTCGACGACGCCGGCGAGAGCCCCAATCGGATTGTGGCCTCCGGCTACTGCTCATGGCACCGGGACGTCAAGTCGCCGGACTGCGGCGCTTGCATCGCGCTGGCCTTCGAGGAGGCGCAGAGGCTGTGCCCGTTCCAGAGGATGGCTGAGGCCGCGGTTGACGGCGGCGCGTGCAACTGCAGCGCACACTTCCACGACTACGACATCATGGAGCAGTTCCAGCACGGCGACCCCAGTAGTAACTCCTTTGCTCCCCCCTCTCTCTCTCTCTCAGACTAGATCTAGAACAAAACTATAAAAAATTCCTACATCACCCTGAGAGCCAGATTTGCTATATTCTCCGTCCCATAATATAATAATGTTTTTTTACATCAATATATGTCAAAAACGCTTTTATATTATAAGACGGAGCGAGTACATTACAACCGAGTTTTGGCAAAAGAACATTGATTGGGAAGCTATACTATGTATATACAGTAATAGAGAGTAGAAAGCATGGACATGTGATGCAAAAATTATTTTCTAGTTCACTATTTGATATACATCAGAGTCACTCTAGTGCAATCACTATTTTTGTTTTAATATGTATCATTATTAATCTTTCGTTCTCATATAGAACCAGCTATATTGATCACTGAACACCCATCTAAGATCCTTCCTCTGCCACTGCTCTAACATTTCCCTTTTCACCCGGCCACCTCCAGATCAGGGGCAGACACAGACCAATATTGTAAGGGATCTTAACATTTTCTATGCTAAGAAGTTCAAATGTCTCATGCATAAAATTGGCTAGTTAAATCTACACAAAAAGGAATTTTTTAGCTGCTTCTATATGAAGAATTGAAGACATAGAGAATTAAGCATGTCCTGAAATGAAATTCCGTAGATTTTTTCGGTTGACGTGTGCCCTCATTAATTAGTGTGTGGAGTATTACTAAGTTGCCCGTGTGTTGCACGAAACATCAAGATGCATTTATATGAGTAGTTTATCTTGTGAGAGATAAGGATGAACGAGGGAACGCCTTATCTGCAAATGTGGAGAGGAGTGCGGGTATCTTTTTGCAAAATTGTCATAGTTTCTTTCCTATCCGTCAGATATAGATCGGACGGCTTATATTGCAGGATGGCAGGCACACCATCATTACCAACTCTGTTTTCTATAAGAGTAGAGATATTGCTTAATCTTGAAAAATATATGTCACTGTTGATCCAGAGGATTGTGATAAAATTAGAGAGCAGTTTTAACTGGTCCCTCTTACCTTGTCTTTTCATATGAGAGGTAAAAGTATAAAATAGATTTGTGCCGTTGATTTCATTAAGTAGTGGGTCTGATAACTCTTACCTTTTTTACCCCATGTGAGAAGAGGATGTAAGAGGGATCATGTTAAAATTAAAAAAAGAGGTAAGAGGAACCATGCATGTTAAATGCTCATTTAAAATTCCTTCAAGGATTAGGATCTTTCATTAGGTACGGTGGTTATTTTGATAAAACTAGTCAATGTGTACGTGCAATGCACGTTAATCTGAAAGTATATTAAGTGCATGCGGATATTAAGTAGGGTATTATTTAATTACGTGTTATCATGTGATTAGCACTATATTTGGTATGAGATTAACTGCACGCTAAACATGTTGAGTGCTCGACATTGAAGCAATCTAGGTTGTTGGATTGACATGATTTGATGGCCGAGATTAATTGGATCTGCCCCTTTGGGTCTTTTTTGTATTGGTATAGATATAATCTAGTAAGGTGTACTAATTGATAAGGGAGCACTCTTTGTTGTATTTGTAACAATAATGAACTATCCAACATTTATTTGTAGATTGCCAATTTGGACAACCGTGCATGTAGCTTTGATCTTGCCATCCCCTTAATGTACCTCAGATATATATATGTAAAGGTCGATTGGCTAATATTAACCCACGAATGAGAACCTAAGTTCTGGTTGGGGCACCTGCCTTATATTGGGCTATTTTGGCTAACTTGAAATGGTATTTTTTTTAAGCGGACAAATTCATATATGTAGGTGATCCTCGGTGGAACACACCGGAGCAGGTCGTGGGCGTTGTTGTGGAAAAAGAGGAGAACATCACGAGAATGAGATGGGCATGCCGAACCTTGGAGACAACAATCATGGAGATCTTAGCTAACCTTGGGTGGATGTCTAACAAAAGAATTTGTGCCTAGTTTTCATTCCATGCTCATGAACAATGTGTGTTCTATTTGGGCCATTTATTGGTTTCTTTAAATCAGCTGGAGGCTGGAACTATGTAATAACCGAAGGTTGAGCCTATGCATTATGGAGAAAACATTCCCATTTCTTAAAAAATCTTGAAGGTAAGAAAATTGGGAATTCGGGAGAATGACGAACTCTAGGATTCAACTTTTGCTAAGTTGGGCTCTAGATGGAAGCACGTTGCTTGGGTGGCTCGGTGTGAATACTCGTAAATGGCCAATTAGCCAGCCTGATGGCCTAGTTATGCCCTCCCTCCTTCCACTTGCGGCCCACCTTTTCTTCAACAAAAATTGCCCAACAGATGTCAGAGATGAGAACATAAATATTCTTCAAGTGAACAATGAAACCTTGAACGACAATAGGTACTTGGGAATGCCCGCTGATGTATGCTCTTCTAAACAGGGGGCTTTCAAGTATTTAAAGGACGGGGTATGGAACAAGGTTAAAGAATGGATGACAAAAAAAATTTCTTCAGCTGGCAAAGAGGTTTTGATCAAGTTAGTGGCTCAGGCGGTTTCAGTTTACTCTATGTCGTGTTTTAAATTACCGAGAGGCTTATGCGAGCACCTGAATAAACTCGTACGGCAATTCTGGTGGGGAAGTAAGGAAGGACAAAAGAAGACGTCATGGGTTTCTTGGAAGGACATGACCTAGCCCAAGTTTTTGGGTGGATTGGGATTCAGAGAATTTGAGCTGTTCAACCTAGTGCTACTTGCTAAGCAGGCGTGGCACATTCTACAATGTCCTCACACTCTTTGTTCGATGATGCTGAAAGCTATTTATTTCCCCGCTGGTAATACTTTGTCAGCCAAACTTGGGAACCATCCTTCACATATATGGCGAGCAATAATTGAAGGAATAGATGTGCTACACCAAGGCTTGATCCGAAGAGTTGGGGACGGTTCTTCCATCGATATTTGGTAGGAAAACTGGATCCCTAGAGAGGAAAACATGAGACCAATTGTGTTCCTCGCGACGGTCCGCCCCAGCCTCGTTAGTGAGCTCATAAACCATGTTGAGGCCTCATGGAATAGGGAGGTATTACAACAAACTTTTAACTCCACGGACGTGGACGCAATATTGAGCATACCGCTTTGTACTAGAAATAATGTGGATTTCTGGGCATGGAATTTCGAGAAGACGGTTTTTCACAGTGAGGTCGGCATACTGCATGCTCACCCACACACAACGCGGGTGGGAGGCTTGGCTCGATGGGCATGCGAGCTACTTCTATTCTAGAGCCGAGGAGAATGGATGGAAGCAGCTCTGGCAGGTGGATGTCCGAGGAAAGCTACACAATTTTTTTGTGGAGGCTGGCTAAGTATTCTATTCGGACCAAAGACGTCTGGCATCATCGACATATGTCACAATCTGATGGTTGTCAATTGTGTGGAGCGACAGACTCATGGTGTCATTCCCTACTCGAGTGCACGACGTCGAGGTGTGTTTGTGCTTTGGTTGATGGCGACCTAGCTAAGCACTTAATTGCTATGACAGACCCAAGCGCAAAACAGTGGCTATTTGGGATGATGAATACTTTATCACATGACAAGCTTGTTGAAAGGATCGATATGGTTGACTAGAGGGGGGGTGAATAGGCAACTGCCAATTTTTAGCTTTTCTTTACCAAATTAAACTTTGCATCAAAGTAGGTTGTCTAGATGTGCAACTAGGTGAGCAACCTATATGATGCAATAACACCAAGCATACAAGCAAGCAAGGGTACAAACAATAAAGAGCTTGCAAAAGTAAAGGTAAGAGATAACCAAGAGTGGAACCGGTGGAGACGAGGATGTGTTACCGAAGTTCCTTCCTTTTGAGGGGAAGTACGTCTCCGTTGGAGCGGTGTGGAGGCACAATGCTCCCCAAGAAGCCACTAGGGCCACCGTATTCTCCTCACGCCCTCACACAATGTGAGATGCCGTGATTCCACTATTGGTGTCCTTGAAGGCGGCGACCGAACCTTTGCAAACAAGGTTGGGGCAAACTCCACAACTTAATCGGAGGCTCCCAACAAGACCACGAAGCTTCACTACAATGGAATATAGCTCCGAGGTGACCTCAACCGTCTAGGGTGCTCAAACACCCAAGAGTGATAAGATCCGCTAGGGATGAGTGGGGGAATCGAAAATCCCTTGGTGGAAGTGTAGATCGGAGCCTTCTCAACCACTCCCGAGCAAATCAACAAATTTGATTGGCTAGAGAGATAGATCGGGCGGAAATGAAGCTTGGCGTATTTAATGGAGCTTGAGCAATAAATGGAGCTTGGGGGAGGAAGAGGTAGGTGAGAAGGAGGAAGGGGACTCCCTTTTATATTGGGGGCAACAATCCCGTTGCCCCCCCACCAACCAGCCCCGCACAGGGCGGTACTACCGCTGAGAGGGGGCGGTACTGCCGCGCCACCCAGCGGTACTGCCGCGCTGAGGAGACTTAGTAGGGAACGGACCCCAATTGCGGTACTACCGCGGTGGTAGGGCGGTACTACCGCTCCTAGAACGGTACTACCGCCACTAGAACCGTGACTAGTGCCGCAAAACCCGACACGAGAAAAAGACCTCTCGAATCGAGGCGGTAGGACCCAGACTACCCAGTGGTACTACGGCAGTGGGGTCAAGGGCGGTAGTACCGCTGTGGAGCGGTACTGCCGCTTGTGACCCTTCGGCCGTAGTACCGCAGGCAGTGCGGTACTACCGCTGGGGCAAGAGAGAGAGAGAGAGCGAGCGAGAGAGAGAGAGAGAGAGAGAGAGAGAGAGAGAAGGGATCTCTCAAATATGCTGAGGACACGGAGGAGGTGCCAGGCCCCCAGCGGTACTACTGCTGTGGAGCCAAGGGCGGTACTACCGCTGCGGAGCAGTACTGCCGCTTGGCTCCTCAGCGGTACTACCGCTGGGTGCGTGGTACTATCGCTTAGACCCAGACAGGACAAGGAAGAGAGGAGAGATCTCTTCAATGGAAAGGAAATGCTCGGAGGGTGAGAAGCAGATGTGTACGTGATGATTCTACCCATGCAAAACTCCAGCGGACCCCCTCTTGATAGTACGGTGCCCTCTACGCAACTAGTCCACCGAGAAAGAAACGAAAGAGCTACACCGTCTTGGAATACACTCCGAGGGGAAGAAGGCATCTTGTGCCAGGGGAGAATCTGTGAATTATTCAAAGCACAAGATTATTCCGCAAACATGTTGTCATCAATCACCAAAACTACCTTGAGAGAGATATGCCGTAACAATCTCCCCCTTTTTGGTGGACTGATGACAACTAGGGATTTGCGCAAGGAAAAGAAATAAAACAAAGAAAGCTAAGAACTACAAAATATAGACGGGCTCCCCCAGAATGTGTGCACCAAGAGATGGCACGACCCACACATTCGGATCAAAACCCCCCCTATATTTTATAGTCCAACAATACTAAGCACAAGATATATGAGAGAATTAAATAAACAGGACAAGCATGCATCTCACAATAAACTACAGTACTCAGACATGACATAAGTAATAAGGTAGCGATAGGGAGCATATGTCTCACACCATATGTCTAGAGCTTAGGTCTCACACCAAACCAAACCAAAGAAGGACACCAAGAGAACACACAAGAAACCACAAGACGACACAAAACACGACACAAGAGGCAAATCCCTACACTCTCTCCCCCTTTGGCAGTGAGACACCAAAAAGGGCATAGAGTGACACTACGACTCCAGGTGATGGGAGGTGGAAGAGCTCGAACATCACATCTCTGCTGTGACGCCCGGGTAATTAAGCTACAGTCATCCTCTGCTAATGATGCCACGTCACCTCGTTTATAGTTGCTAATCTCCAGTTAGTTCGAAACCGATTCAAATTCAAATTCAAAATTAGGCAAACAATAAAAATTTTCAAATATTAAAATTAAAATGTTCGGAGTGAACCAAATATTGCATAGATAATTATGGGGGGAAAATGTTTAAATACTATGAGATGAATAAAACAGTAGTAAAAATGATTATTTGAATAACTTTTATAATTACTAAAATGTCAAACTAAGTTATTTGGGGTCTAGACTTTTTGTGACTATGGACTAGGTTGTAATACTAATTTAGATACTAAGTGTATGTTTTACTAAAATAGAATGCAACTACAATAAAGCAGGAAAGAATAAATAAAAGGAAAAGAAAACTAAACAAAAAAAGAGGTAAAAGGAGACCTCCCCCACTAGACCCCTTGGCCCAACTGGGCCATGGCCCAGCCGGCTATCCCCTGGCCTATAGGCCACCCCACCCCCTGCCCCGAAACCCTAACACCCCCACTCCCCACGACCGCAACCACCCCCCACTCCCTCGTCTCTCCCTCTCATCCGATCCAGATCGGATCGGGCCGTCCCTATCGCCCCGCCGCCGTTCACCATCGCCACCGCCGCCCAGCGCCCTCC